AGAGTGTGCAAGTTTGAGACGTTCCATGTCCGGTCCTTCTTATGGAGATTGTATCATTTGCCAGAAATCTAGACAAGATACAATAGAGGAACAACACAAGGCCTGTAGTCACTCTCAACCCATCAATCAAGACAGACATTTCAAGATGCAGATAAGGGTAAAATAAAATGATTAATTAAATAAACCATCCCATTCAATCATAGCTCAGACTAAGCTCATGGCCACGAAGTAGGACATCATTAACTGACTGGAAACTCTTCTTATTTTGCCAACAAAGTAAACAATCCAAGAAAGAAACTCTGTGCTCTGTTGCGACCATTAAAGTCAGTCAACAAGTAATTGAGATCTGTGATTGTAGTCTTTCTGTACGTGTGGTAGGGGTAAGTGATTTGAGAGCTGCTGAGGGAAAGTACCATCCCAACTGTTACTAGACATTTCCAAGAAAAGCATCACAGTCAAGAGGAAAAGCAAATGATGAGAAGGGGAGAATACTGATGTGGTTGATTAATGACTTAAGGAAGTCTGCAGCAAATGGACACATTTTGGAACTGAAAGACGTATTTACTTACTACTGCTCACTTGCTGCCAAAGAAGGTGTTGAAATCCCACACTCATTTCTCAGTCGTGTATCGGTGTTCGAGGAAGACATTGAGCCTCACGTCACTGACTTTTATGAATTCGTAAAACTATGAAATGAAGAGATTACAGAGAGGCAAACAGTGCTTCTGCCAACTGAATTTACACATATTCCAATGTCTGAATTACTGAATAAAGCAGAGGTTGCGCTACCATTAGGTAACAGTAGGTGGCCGCTTAAGGCCTCTGAACCTGGAGGGGCCCCAACCAATTACCCTCAGTGCCACTAATGGCCGAGGCCTCAAAGCAATTTGATTTTCTCTCAATATGACATTAAATGAGACGAGTTTACTTTTAAACAAGAAAACACCATCAAAATAGTATCTGATTGTCAAATTTAACTATCAAAGCATCCTCCCTTTCACATTACAATGGACTCATCAGCTTGACCTTGATTTGAACAGAATCCTAGCAGAATCATAACCATATGTAATGGATGTAAACAAGAACTCAAAATCAAGCTTGACTCACATACAATGACATTTTAAGTACAATTTCGTTTAAAAAGTATATAAATTGCAAAAATCTTAGCTATATTTGGTATTTTGGTTTAAAGACTTGAAGCTCAAAGCAGACGACTTGGACTTGACTTGGACTTATGGGCCAGTGACTCGAGACTCAACTTGGACTTGTCTGTATTTGACTTGGGACTTGAGGACTTGCTCAAAGAAAGAAAGTCTGGAGTGAGCGAGAAAATTGTGAGGAACTGGAGGAAAGCCAGGATGCACCATGAAACTTTCCTGAAGTCACTGGATGGAAGGACAAAGCCTGAACTTCAGTGACACTGAAACCATCCTGTCGGGATTCAGAAAGGCCCGAATAATTCTAACTGGAACTGATGCTGAGTCTGACGACAGCGACACAGAAGAGGAAGTGACGCTCTGTTTACCTCCGGAGGTCGTGGAGTTGTTCAGAAGTGACACAGAGGATGAAGAATTGAATGGATTTAGTGATTTGGAGTGAGATGGAGAGTTTGGTAAACTTGTTCTGTTCTGTTGTTTATGTTATAGTTTATCTGAAGAACTGTTCATATGTGACGTTAACAGTCTGACTTATATATGTTTTTTTCTTTTTCATTACACACTTGACTGGTGCGACTTATACTCCGGAGTGATTTATAGTCCAAAAAATAAGGTAGTTTAATGTTACATACATACTTACATACATGACACGTTATGGTATACACATAGTACATTATACACACATTACATATTATATTTAATTACTTAATTCTACTAAGTTGTACTTCATCTATGTTTTTAAGTTACACTCACTTATACACACAATAGTTCCCTTTAATTAAAACTATTTGCTAAAATTACTCAAAAAGAACAACATGTTACAGCAACTTGACATAATTAAGTCAGCAGGACTATTTCTAAAACTTTGAGTATACAAAACTTAATCTGTTTAATAAGTTGTACCTCATCTATGTTTTTTAAGTTACAGTCATGTATACACACAATTGTTCCCTTCAATTAAAAATATTAGTTAAAATTACTCAAAAAGAACAACATGTTACAGCAACTTGACATAATTAAGTCAGCAGGACTATTTCTAAAACTTTGAGTATACAAAACTTAATCTGTTTAATAAGTTGTACCTCATCTATGTTTTTAAGTTACACTCACTTATACACACAATTGTTCCCTTCAATTAAAAATATTAGTTAAAATTACTCAAAAAGAACAACATGTTACAGCAACTTGACATAATTAAGTTAGTACAACTATTTCTAAAACTTTGAGCATACGCAACTTAATCTATTTAATAAGTTGTACCTCATTTATATTTTTAAGTTACACTCACTTATACACACACAATAGTTCCCTTTAATAAAAAATATTAGTTAAAATTACTCAAAAAGAAGAACATGTTACAGCAACTTGACATAATTAAGTTAGTACGACTACTTCTAAAACTTTAAGTATACACACACAATCTATTGAATGACTTTGAAGGTTCAGGTTTACCGTGTTGTATTATCTCCGTGTCTACCTCATAGGATCTTCTCATTTTCAATCCAACTTTGTGTGCTGACTCAGACGGCGTTCTTTTTAAAGGTGCCTTGTTTGCGTGTGTTTGGGTGTGTGATGGGAGCTGTCACTTCTCTCCTTGTTAGCGCGAGTGCTACAGACGAGGAGCGCTGTACTCGGGGCTTGTTAGCGCGTCAGTCGGAGAGGCTAATGTAGCATAAAGCCCAGCAGTCGTGTTCTCATTAATAAACAGTTGCCGTGGGCGACGTAGCTCCGACATGACGCGTCTGTGCAGAGTTACAACGCCGCTCGGCAAAATCAGGAACAGCTCCACCTTTGGCTGCGAGGTGAACCGCGGTGGAGTGTAAATCGCAGTCTGAATGAACGGAATTAACTCTGAGTTAGACAGTACTCAGTTTTGTTACTTAAGTAAAAGTAAGTAAAAGTACACATACAGGGGCACAGGTAAAAGTAAAAGTATCACATGAAAAAAGTCTACTTAAGCAAAACTACTGAAGTACTTGTTAAATGTAGAGATTTTTGATAAAGCATTTTGCAGATTTTAAGTGATTCAAATGATTTCGTAATTATTCTAGATGTTTTTGTGTTTTTGCGTATTTGTTTTGCTCAAAGTTGGGATGTAAATTCAAATGAAAAGAGCCATCTAAGCCATTTCAGCAGGCCTTAAACCATAAAGAAAAGTAGTTTTTACTTTTCAGTTCAGAGTAAAAAGTAGAAACCTGTTCTCAAATGTGGTAAAGTAAAAGTAATTCACTGTAAATATATGTAAGTAAAGTACAGATGCCTAAAAATTTCAATCTTATCACAATCTAGCTGAAATTTTTGAAGTACTTAGAAGTCTTTTTTTCCAGAAACAACAAAATTTCCTGTTTTCCTAACCCTAAATTTTCAATTTCTTCAAACATGTTCTGAAGTGTGATTCTTATATTGTTTCTCATATTTCTTTTTATCAATTCTTCTGGACAAGTTTACACTGTGAACAGAAATTGCAAGACTTAAAGCAATACTTGATATTTTCCCCAAATTTTTATTTGCACAAATTTCTTCTGTAGTGACTTACAGGTGCATTGTATAATTTTTCTGGTACAGGGTCTGTCACCTGTTTTCATGGAGATGTTATTGTTGTGTTTAGAAAGTTCCACAGTAAAGATTTAACTAAACCTCTATCTCTAGGTCACACCGGACTATAAGTCACACTTTTTGGGGGAAATTTATTTTATAAAATCAGAGACCAGGGACATTTCATGTTGAAAGTCAAGTTCTAGAAAAAACAACAGAGAGAACAACAGACTGTTAACATCACATATGAACAGTTCTTCAGATAAACTATAACATAAACAACAGAACAGAACAAGTTTACCAAACTCTCCATCTCACTCCAAATCACTAAATCCATTCAATTCTTCATCCTCGGTGTCACTTCTGAGCAACTTCAAGACCTCTGAAGGTAAACAGAGCGTCACTTCCTCTTCTGTGTCGCTGTCGTCAGACTCAGCATCAGTTCCAGTTAGAATTATTCTGGTCTTTCTGAATCCCGACAGGATGGTTTCAGTGTCACTGAAGTCCAGACTTTGTCCATCCATCCAGTGACTTCAGGAAAGTTTCATGGTGCATCCTCCCGGTGTCACAAGTTTCTCGCTCACTCCAAACTTTCTTTCTGCTGCTTGATTACTGTTTTCAGCTGCAGATTTCACTACTTGCAGCTTGTAATCTGCAAAATATGATTTTCTTTTGGGGGCATTTGTGTTCAGTCTTCTCATTCGTCTTTATAAGTTTGTTTAAACGTTACATTGTTCAGTGGTGCAGAAGTAATGGTGCGATCGTCTGACATGATCCAGACAGGACAGAGGCTCTTTCTGCAGGAGACATGCGCAGTAGAGTGAAGTGACAGTGGTACAGGAGGAACAGGAGCAGCAGATACTCACACACAAGACTAGAACCTCTCGAGGCTTCAGTGTGAACATTTTAATATATAAGTCTCAGGACCACTCAAACCATGAAGAAAGGTGCGACTGTAGTCTTAAAATTTAGCTTTTCAAACATCATCACAACTGTTTTTCTAATTTCACTTCCTGTCTTCTTTAGCGTCCACACCTCCCTTTGCCGCATTTATTCTTCTGTCTCTGCAGCAGCTCTGTTTGCTCTCGGTTTATGTGACCACTGGCCCCTTTTTACAATGTGTAGCTCATAATCTGTGTACAAGTGCTTTAATGACTCCATCTTCTCTGCTTTAACTCTCTTTAAAGCAGCAGCCAGCCCCCCTCGTGTTTGACAGCACCGGATAATTAGAGCCAAGCACACAACGCTGCCGAGTCAGAGGAGGCACGGGCACTTTGTAATTGTTTTCTTCTGTTTTCTCTGCTCCAGGTTTAATTACCACCACCTCCCGCAAACTGGACCGCGAGCAGCAGAACGAGCACGTGCTGGAGGTAAGAACACCTTCATTTAAAGTGCGTATGAGGGGCTCTCTCATTTTAATTAGGTGGGGTAATACCTGTTGTAAATGTAAATCACAGTTTTACACCAATCAAGAAGCAATTTGTGAAGAAAAGTGGAAAAATATGTTGGAAATTACAGGAATTAGAGAGTTTTAGTTTAGAGAGTTCCACATTGATGACATTACACTGGGAGAATTCTTACCAAAAGTTTTTGCAAATTTCCACAAGCAACACATTTTTCCAACATTTTAAAGATTGTTTTAAAAAAAATAATGGTGTTTTCTTAACATTTTATTTGTCAAATAATAATTTCTGAGAACATTAGAGGAGTTTTGGCCCAGCGCACTATATGGTTGCTATAGGTAACCGTTATGGAATTTCATTGAGCGATGTCACAATTTACAGCCCGAAAGTAACATTTTAAACCTAAAACTCTTAAATCTATTACCCAAGAGACAAGACCAAAAAGTTCTGTAACTGATTTTTACTGCCTTAAAAATGTGGAAACAAGAACTAGTTCATTTTAAATAATTTTGCAGCACTCCAAATTTATTCCCCACTTTTCTAACTCATTCCTAGTGTCCTAATTATTCACCATGAAGACTTCTAAACCCGTTTCTAAGCAACTTTCAGAGCAAAGTTTTGTCACTGTCATTGTAAAGCTAAAAACAACTTGCAGTTGTACAGTATACAGCGGCCTCAACAACAGAATGTGCTCATTTACATGGAAAAAAATACGGTACAGCTCTTACTACATAATATGAACATGAGTGTAAGTAAAGTATACGTGTGTTCAAGGTTCAAGATTTACCAAATGCCATATTGAAATATTTATACTTCAATACTAATGATACTTTGTAGTTGATGTCACTGCTTTGTCTGAAGCTGTGTAAAGGCCACCACACTACAGGATTTTTCAGTTTTTCGATTTTTTTATTTATTTTTTTAGTTTTATTTATTTAAAAGGGACAATGCATATTCATGAACATATACTTGTAAATACGATACCAGAATTAGCCCAAAGGTACTTTTCATCTGTAGACCCTGGCAGGTCAGAGAGACAGAGACATAAAACATAAACATTTGACAAAAAGCGCACACCACAGACACAAGGAGAATCTTATTTTAGATTTTGAATCTCCGATTGCAAAGACTGCAGCGGGATATTTCTGCAGACCACAGGCTGCAAAGTAGAGAGAAGGTGCCTCTCATAAAACCACTCACTCTGACATGCTTAAGTGTGCAAAACATCAGAGCTCTGCACTTCTAGTTTAGATACAAGTCAAAACTGTGTATCATCATTATTATTACTAGTACTAATCTGCATAAATAAACTCAACTTTACAACATATAAACCATAAACACTCTCGAGCCACATCAGCCCGTTTGACATTATCATGTGTTTAATGCAGCTTTGTCTCACAGAAACGAAACTTAAAACCACATGGCTAATTTGCATAAACTAAGCAGAGAAAAAAAAAAAAAAAACGCTCTTGTGCTCAGCTTCTGTCGAACTACAGGACACTCAGTGGAATACAGGTGTTTTTTTCTGTGACAGAGGGATGTTGAAGCTGAAGGTGAGTCTGTTGTGTGTGTGTGTGTGTTGCGATGTTTTCAAAGATGGTACATGTGCAGGTTTATCGCAGCTCTTTATGTTGCACTAGCCGGGATACTGCGTTTACATGCATCATGATGAAACGGATACAGATGTGCATGTAAACACACTCACTGAGTGGTACAGTGTCTCCAAGGAGCCAGAGCCCAAACGTGGGACTGTGAGGCCACAACTCCAGTGTTTGCTCTGTCAGACGCAGCTTCGTATCTTCGCACAGAAACCTACATTCGGTTTGTTGATTAGAAATGAACGTAATCGACGAAACTCTTAATGATCAGTTATCGATTAGTCGACTAATCATGCCCATCACAGACAGTATTTTTTTTATGCGTTACAATCGAACAAAGTTGAGAGTTATTGTGAACGCGTTAAATAAAGTTTGACTGACTTATCTAACTGTTGTGTTTTGTTTAATGCGCCTTATAGTATGTGCGGTTTTATGTGAAAAAAGTTCGAAAATAGACCATTCAGTGACAGTGCGCCTTATAATCCAGAGAGCCCTGTCGTGCGCAAAATATGGTACCTCAGTTTTAACATGCAGCAACATAAGAATTACTTTCAAAACTGATGTCCATTTTATTTCCAATCAGGTAAGGAAGCTACAATTTTTCAGTGTCACTTCTACCTCAGATCTAAACTAGCTACATCTGGTCCACAACATTCACAGAAATCGAAAATCCATTGCAATATATGTCCCAGATGCATACAAACTTCCAATTTCACGTTACATCATACTCCACAAAGCCTCAGATTATTCCATCTTTTCCCTTTCCCTTTGGGACCGAACCAGAGAGTCGTGCATGTAGAAATAAGCCATCAAACTCTGTGCTTTTGTGGTTGGGCGCTTTGAAAGGGAGCAGCTGACAGTGTACTCGGCGTGTTCCACCTCTGGACTGGCTCTTCTCCAGCAGCTGCCACCTCCGGAGATGGGAACAAATTGGCTTCTCCGAACGGCTCCCTCTCCCCTTAGCGCGGTAATGGAGGGAGCGCGTGAGGAGCCGGCTGTCTATTAGAAGATAATAGGGGGTGTCTGAAGAAGAACTGGACCCCAAATGATCTCGTGTGATTGGCTGTGGAGGAGTATAGTGCGAGGCTGCGGTCTGCGCGTGGACGCTGTTTGTTTGCCGCTAAAAGGTCGTACAAATCGAATAGAGCGCAGATCCCTGTTCCAATGAGCAGTTCACTTGGGCTCAGATCAGTGAACCACGGGGAAGGTCTGACTCAGTGAAATGAGACTGAAGAACTTTGGGCGTAGGAAAGCAAGAGAAATAACTAATGATTCACTGATATAAATAGATTTCTATCCGTGTAAGTCCTAAGCAGAATGTATGTATTATTCTTTAAAAATATTTGAACTGTATTTACATTCTTAACATTTATTTAGAAATACCACAAGCAAAAAAAAATCATTGTTGATCCGTGTATCATCTGTTCATTTTTTCAAAATAAAACCAAAAATAAGAAAACAAAAAACAACAATTTCTAACAACTACTTTTTTTTCCAATTCTATGTTTAAATGAATAATGGAAAGTCTAAACCAGCACTGAACCAGAACTAAAACAGGACTGAACTGGTTTCAGTTCTGGTTTAGACCTGGTTTAGACCTGGTTCAATTCTGGTTTAGTCCTGGTTCAGTCCTGGTTCAGTTCTGGTTTAGTTCTGGTTTAGTCCTGTTTTAATCTTGGTTCGGTCTTGGTTCAGTCCTGGTTCGGTCCTGGTTCAGTTCTCATTCAAACACAAATGGAAAACTGAAAAAACAAATCATTATCTGTTTTTTTTTTTTTTTTTTTTTTTCATTTTGGTTTTGGAGATAAATAATGAAGACAATAGTTTGTTTTTTTTTTTTTTTTTGAAAAACGTATTGTTGTACCCATTTTTACTATGTTTTTTTTTTTTTTTTGTCTTAAAATCAAATGAAAATGGACGGAAAGCTGAAAAAAAAATTAAGAAAAGGAATATTATATGGCAATGCTTCTTTAGGTGCTTACATGAGCTGAGTGAGTTGACTAGGTTTACATTAGTGTTCTAAACAGGATGATACATATGTGTAATCAAATATTACTTAAAGCTAAACTATGTAACTTTTCATTTTGAGGGTTGGCGACCTGCTTGTTTCCATGGAGATGTCAGTGTTAGTGTTTGTTTGCAGCTAGAAGGTCTTTCAAATGGAATATCAAGGAAAGTCTGAACATTATTGAAATTATCAGCATTCATTTAGAAATATCACAATCAGAATCACAACCATTGTTGTTCCCGACTTTAATCTTAAAGGTGCACTATGTAACTTTTTGGATGGGGTTTGTCACCTGCTTGTTTCTATAGAGATGTCATTGATCTGCCTGGAATGTTCCACAGTGTGATATTAAACAACTCTATCTTACATTTATTCATTTACAGGTGGTTTATAGCTCAAAAATACATAAAAAAAAAAAATATATATAAATATATTTTGATCTGACCTGTAACTTGGTCTGGTTCTGTCTCCATGAGGACAGAAAGGTTTAATACCATATTGTGAAACGTTCAATACAAGGCAAAAACATCTCCATGTCTCCATCCCTTCACCAGAAAAGTTACACAATGCACCTTTAAGTAGAAACAGCAGAGTTACCAAAGCAGAGCTGTACTCTGGGTTATTGATGGACTCTGGCTGCTTTTCAGAGATACATCATTATTTAAGTTTCACTTCAAAAAAAGTTGTTTCTTGACTTTCCCAAGTTACAGAAAAGCCATTGGTTTCATTGTTTTTTCATTGTTAAATTGATTTAGTGACTGTTGAGACTTTGCAGCTGGCGTCATCAACATTCCCTGGGGGTCTGATGCTAACTGTAGGCACTGCTCTGTCTGAGGCTTCATTAGACTGTAATACAAGTTTTATTTTAACACAGTCTGACCAGAAAGCTTTCCCAAAAAGTTCCTTGAAAAACACCTGCTTGTCTTCAGGGAGATAAATAAACAATGGTGGAAGGTAACAAAGTACAAAAGTAAAATTACAATACTTAAGTACAAATTTTAAGTATCTGTACTAGATTGAAGTAAATTTTTACAGTGGATCTGTACTTTTTACTCCACTACATTTTAGATTTAGAACTTTTCTTGGTTTGAGACCTGCTGAAATGACTGAGACTTATTTTCAGCACATTTCATTTGAGTTAATATTCCAACTTGGAGCAAAAATACACAAATACACAAATGCAGCTAGAAAAAGTAAGATTTAAATCAGCTAAATTCTTTTTCAAAATCACAAATTTTTCTAAAAATCTCTGCAAAATACTTTTACTTTTTATTCTTTAAGTACATTTTTAAATAGGTACTTTAATGCTTTTACTTAAGTGGATTTTTTTTCATATGATACTTTTACATTAACCTAAGTAA